AAAGGAAGCATCGGGAGGTATCATCAAATTCCATTTCTAAGGTAACAACTTACCTTTTTCAAAACTTATTAACTTAGACAATATGCATGTTATCATTGATTATTCCTAATTTTCATTTTTCCCAACTTTAAATGCGAGGGAAATCCCAACCATCGTAATTTTTGGTTAACAAGCAGGAAGATTGAATATCCGAAGAATGCCTTTCGGATACTATCCATTTCAGCCAGCTCATTGAGATAGGTTAACCCTAAATTGAAATCGTCTTAGCCAAACATACTTGATGTAGAAGCAGCTGCAGATTTAAAATCTTAATGGTGATGCATTTGGTTCTCAAACAGTTAAAGCGTCAGAAACGTTTCGGACGTATGATCTGGGTGGTGTACGGGAAATGCAACAAATGACAACTAAAAATCCCGATAATTTAGGGCTACAACTTGTAATAATAAAAAAACAATTGAAGGGTACATGTGTATAAACTATCGATACTTTACTAAATTAACAATGTAAACGGTAAAATTCTACTGGTACAATGATAATAGGCGTACATGACAAGCGTCTCAACTTGTCATTTACGACTATTTTCATTATATCGGAGAACTTTTATCCGTTTACATTGTTAATTATACCGGTACTTATGTTTTACGTTTGTATCTTCCATTATTTAACATTATTATTAAAAGATCTAGCGTTTAATTCTCGAGAATTTTTTGATGCATTACCCGTGTACCACCCAAATCATAAGTCTGAAATGCTTCTGATGCTTTAAATGTTTGAGAACTAAATGGTTCGTCTTCGAGATTTTAAATATGCAGATGCTTCTACGTTAGCTATGTTTCTCTCAGACGGTTTTGGTTTACGGTTATCCTATCTTCATGAGTTGGATGAAATGGATAATATTCGGAAGGAATTATTCGCATATCCAGTATTCCTGCTTGTTACTCAAAATTATGATGGTCGGGATTTCCCTCGCGTTTCATTTAGATTGATTGCTCTGAATATATAACGACATTTGATCTCCGAATCGTTGTTGGTTGATTGGTCGGTCTTTATATCCATATTTTCTTATCTGTATACTGATACATTTGAGTTTTGTTGAAATATCAAAACTAGTTATTAATGTATTTTATATCTGCGTGCAAATGTATCTAAACACATTATTAAGGAATCGTTTTCTATAATCTTCACAACAAAGTTTCCATACTTAGAATTTCTAAATCGGTTAAAAATTGAGAAAACGATAAAATTTTAAACAATCGATTAAATATAACATATTGAAAATGGACACAATCAGTTTCTCTAATTTCGCCTATAAAGTATTGGTAACATACAAACATGTATCGACACATAAAGTTTCCAATAAAGTGTCGATACATTTATTAAAAGTATTGATCCTCAAAACATCAAAACCGATTATTATAAAATAATAGGTAAAATATATCGGTTTAATGAGAGAATAGGTAAACAAATGTGTCGATACATTTATTAAAGTATCGATCCCAAAAACATCGAAACCGATAATTATAATGTAATAGGTAAATTTACAATGTAACCGGTAGATATATACCGATTTTATGAGAAAATAGGTCTACATAATGTATCGACACTTTCTAAATTTGTGTCGATACTTTTTGTCCAGAATGAATGCTCAACGAGGTGCACGCATAAAGTGTCAATACATTTAAAATTGTATCGATCCTAAAAACATCGAAACCGATAATTATAATGTAATAGGTAACTTTACAATGTAACCGGTAGAAAATACCAGTTTTATGAGAAAATAGGTCTACATAATGTATCGACACTTTTTAAATTTGTGTCGATACTTTTTGTCCAGAATGAATGCCCAACGAGGTGCACACATAAAGTGTCGATATATTTAAAATTGTATCGATCCCAAAAACATTGAAACCGATAATTATAATGTAATAGGTAACTTTACAATGTAACCAGTAGAAATATACCGGTTTTATGAGAAAATAGTTCTACATAATGTATCGACACTTTTTAAATTTGTGTCGATACTTTTTGTCCAGAATGAATGCCCAACGAGGTGCAAGCATAAAGTGTCGATACATTTAAAATTGTATCGATCCTAAAAACATCGAAACCGATAATTATAATGTAATACGTAACTTTACAATGTAACCAGTAAAAATATACCTATTAATTAGAAAATAGGTCAACATAATGTATCGATACTTTTTAAATTGTGTCAATACTTTTTGTCCAGAATGAAAGTCAAACGAGGTGCACACATAAAGTGTCGATACATTTATTAAAAGTATCGATCCCAAAAACATCGAAACCCATAATTATAATGTAATAGGTAAATTTACAATGTAACCGGTAGAAATATACCGATATAATTAGAAAATAGATCAACATAATGTATCGACACTTTTTAAATTTTTATCGATATTTTTTTTTAAATTACGCATTTTTTCCTTCATTATTTATATGTGTTAAAAGTGTCGATACAAATCCCAAATCAAAAAACCCTAAAGGCAGAAGAGAACTCTTCCATTCCGACGAATACCAGCGTTCATAACAGTTGCGATAAGATCTTTAAGTTAATTTATCGATATTGTGGTATTCAAATTAGGTTTTGATTGTTTTCAAGATTGGAGACTTTTTTTTCCTTGATGCGTTTGATAGGTATGTCGTCGAAACCCTAATTTTTTAGAATGTTAGTCTTCAGAAATAGGGCTTAGGTTTTAAAGTTTGCTGTTTTCGAATGGTCCTATTATAAGTTGAAAGTTCAATATTTGTTCGCGAAGATGATGACCTTCAAATGGAGCCCCAGCGTATCAACATTGAAGAAAATCGAAAGCGACCAGTAAGTATCAATGTATTCATGTAATTGGTCTTGAAATGGTAATTGGATTAAATTATTTAAGAACTTTTAATTGATTACAAATTTCAAATCTTTACAGTCTGACTGAATGCCAAAGGATAAAGAAAGTTCATAATCATGTTGACTGCATAGCCAATAAAACCCCCTTGCAGGGTCCAAATGGTAAGATAGGAATTGATAAGGCAAGCTTCTTTTGAGGGTTTAGGGACTGAATCCCTCCAACGTAAGGAGTGCATGATTGAACATTACATATAATAGTTGTATTCAGTTGTTGAAGAATTGTTCTTCATTTTATATAAAGATAGTTGTAATGATATTCGTTCACGTTTCGGGACTAATTTGTTAGATGCATACAATACCTATATCCTTGAGGCAGAGCACAAGAAATCTGGTACTTAAAGATTTACCAAGAGTGATAGTTTTTGCTCTGCATGAAAACCGAATCTAGAATCAACTTTGTAATTATGGCTATCATGTTGAAGAGAACCTGCTGAATGATAGGATTTATACACAACTGCAAGCATTTTATGGGAAATCCTGAGATCTCTGTTGTATAATTTTAGTAGAGTAGTTGGGTTTAGGGTTTAAAATGCTTACAGTTGTGTGCAAATACTATAATTCAGCAAGTTCTCTTCAGTATGATAGGCATAATTGCAAAGTTGATTCTAGGTTCGATCTTCATTCAGAGCAAAAGCTACCACTCTTGGTAAATCCTTAAGTGCCAGATTTCTTGTGCTCTGCCTCGAGGATATAGGGTATTGCATGCATCTAACTAATTGGTCCCGAAACGTGAACGGATATCATTACAACTATCCTTATATAAAATTAAGAACAATTATTCAACAACTGAATACAACTATTATATGTAATGTTCAATCATGCACTCCTTACGTTGGAGGGATTCAGTCCCTCAAAGGAAGCTTGTATTACCAATTCCTAGCTTACCATTTAGACCCCTAGGTTTTATTGGCTATGAAGTCAACATGATTAACCTAGATAATCCCAGTTACATAACTGATTCCGGCCATGATTTGTGGGAGACTCTATTCTACAGATTGTTTGGCAAGGTTAAAGTATCAGAGTATCCAAGTACCGGTTAAAAGTAAGCAGTAATTGCATTGACACCCAATTGACGATTTCCTTTGCTTGACATCTTTCAAGTGCATTGTATATGTCTTTGTGTAAATCCAACATTATGATAACCCTTTATGAGCTTTGTATAAGTAATAGTTAAATTTATAAGGTACACGGTAAAATTATACCGGTATAATGATAATATCATAAACAGTTATAAGGCTCCGTTTTTAACCTCCGCACAGCGGAACTTCCCATTAATCTTAGATGCCGTGGCAGCCCAATGTGTTGCTTCATTCATCCTTCTCTTCTGCGAACTGTTTTGAGGTTTTCAATTGCAAAAAAGAAAAAGAAAAATGCAATGTTTTAATAGGTTTAATTAGATAAAACAGAGTTTAAAGTGGTCTTTACCTCTAAATTAGTTGATTAATAAATTGGATATCAATGATTAATTTAAAAAAATTATATATATACAACTGGGCAACTTTAGGCTTACAGGGGTGAGTTTACCCCTACCCAAATATACAAGCTTTATTTTTATTTTAACCGAAATTCTCACTTTAGTTTTTTCTATTTAAATAGTTTAATTTCTTCCAATTTTAAGAATTATTTTACGTTTTTATAAAATTTTAAATTCCCAGCAATATTTTAATTTTTTTCCTTTTTAATATTTTTTATATTATCGTCTTATTGAAATACATTAATTTTTTAATAAAAAAATAAAATGATGAGCAAAACAAAAAGAATATCAAGATAACTGAAAATAATAGAAAAACAAAAATAATCGATGTGTTGGATGAGTCTAAAATACAACTGGTTGATATAAGACTTTAAAATAAAATAAAATAAAATAATTGTAACAAAAAAATTTATTAAAGGTTTTAAAATAATTTAAATAATATTTTAAATTAAAATAAAAAATATTACGTTCACGAAATAAAACGTGGCCTTATCTTCGTAAAGATGTCGAAGTGATCAAGTAGCCGCCTCTACCTTTTACAATGATTTCTATTCTGCCCAATGCCGCCTATCTATACTTATATAAACCCTCTTCTCCAATGAACAAATTCCCACCTAAGAGCCAACGATGAGTTACTTAACCATTTCCCATATCTCCTCCATCCTCTTCTTCATCATCCTTTTCGTTTCTGCCCATGCAGCTCGCTTCGAGATCCGCAATGAGTGTTCCTACACTGTGTGGGCGGCAGCCTCTCCTGGTGGTGGTCGTCGCCTAAATCCGTCTCAAAGTTGGACAATCAACGTGCCTGCTGGCACTGCCATGGCTCGTATCTGGGGTCGAACCAATTGCAATTTCGATGGCAGTGGTAGGGGTCGATGCCAAACCGGTGACTGTGGTGGACTCCTACAGTGCCAAGGCTGGGGTTCTCCTCCAAACACCCTGGCCGAATACGCACTTAACCAATTCGGAAACTTGGATTTCTATGATATTCTCTAGTTGATGGTTTCAACATCCCCATGGTGTTTGGTCCGACTAGCGGCGGTTGTCACAATATCCGGTGCACCGCAGACATCAACGGGCAGTGCCCGAATCAGTTAAGGGCTCCCGGTGGGTGTAATAATCCATGCACGGTGTTTAAAACCAACGAGTATTGTTGCACTCAAGGGCAGGGAAGCTGTAGTCCGACGTTTTTCTCGAGGTTTTTCAAGACACGGTGCCCTGATGCGTACAGTTATCCTCAGGATGATCCTACGAGCACCTTTACTTGCCCTGGTGGTGCTAATTACAGGGTTGTGTTTTGCCCCCGAGGCTCGCCTCATCTGGAAATGGTCGGAAGCAAGAGCCAAGAAGAGTAAAGGGGTTATCCCTTGGAGCAGTTTATCACCAGCTGGGAATAAAAATAAAAAGTTACGATAATGAACCTGTTGTTGTATTTGTACGGTGGATGTGTTTGTGTTTGATGTAAGAGCAAAAAACAAATAAAGATAATCCTTATATTGCAAAATGAATCTGGGTTTCACGAAACAAAACTTTACAAGTTGATGAAAATTTCCAAGTAGTTGATGACATATAGTTTGCTAGGTCAAAGTATTTATTAATACTAAGCCAAAATATTAGAGGATTAGCTATGCATACAAGTCAAAAGTATTTATTAATACTAGCCAAAATTCTACGCTATAGCAGAACACCTTACCTAACAAACAAGACTACTCAAGTATACTTAGTTTCATACCACCTCGCACGAAAACATCTGGTTCCATATCCCTTCCGCCGAACAATAGTTACTGGTTTACTATTGTTCATTAGAAAAGTGGGGTTATGATGACGTACGTAACTTACGTTGTTTATTTCTTTTGATTTAGGTAGGATCTGTAACGGACTATTTTATGGAAAATGCATGATAAGTTTGAGACAATTAGAAAATGTATGATAGTTTATATATTGATTCCAAGTAATTATGTTAGTCCTAAACTCATGGTAGTTATCTGTAGACGATAATAAATTTGATTTTAACGTCTCTTAATGATCATGTCAATAGAATTAAAGATTTTGTTATGTGAAGTTTTACTAATGGTCTCGATACTCCGGAGCCTTTGACCCCCAAAAAGTATATATATATATATATATATATATACACACGGTGGTATATGATTCTGTTATACAATGTAAAATTATTTTAGTTTTATATAGATTTACAATTGTTGGATGAGTAAAGATAAAATATTAAGATTAACAGTAAGAAATAAAAATATATTCATTGAAAAAAAATAAAGAATCAATCTCAACCATGTATTTATAATCATCTAATAGTATTAAATTTATATAAAATTAAATAGTTTTATATTGTGTAATTACATTGTAACTATATATATATATATATATATATATATATGAAAGAGTAGGAGAAATGTGATGACTAGAGGGCAACTCGTGACAAGAAACCCAAACTTGCACGTATTTGTCTTGGTCTTTGGTCGTCTTTCGAGATAAGCGGCCTAACCAATTTTTTTTATCACGTGCTTTGTAGACTTCTTTACACATCTTTATTCTCTGTCTCCATCTTGTTTCCTTACTCAAAGAAATTGCTTTAAAATCAATTTCCTCATAAGTGAATTTAAATTGCTTGGCACCTCACGGACAGGATCATATTGCTCAATCAGTCAATTGTATTACAAATTTATAAATAATTTACCATATTTAGAGTTTTGTAAAGTTAGGATTATATGTGTGTGTGTGTGTGCTGGGATTTTGCTGTGAACAAATTATATTGCCAATTAGCTAGCATTTAAATTTCAAAACAAAAATTCAACAATGTCTAACGCATGATCAATCGTCAATTTGATCATTTGACGATTAAGAAAATGACAGCCACCGAATATTCAAAAGTTATGAGAATGTACCATTTTGTTTATGAATGATGATGCTATATTTTTAATTGAGATATTTATAGTCGATAATAATAATAATAATTAATTTTTCGTTGTAAATATTCTTTAAATGATAAATGATCAATAAATCTTATTATTTTCCCCTCAATTCTTATTTTTATATAGTATGATTATCATAGATATAGATTTCAATAAATACATATACTACTCTCATTAGTAATATATATTAGTTAATAGAGTACGTATAGGCTGCTAGTCGTATAAAAAAAAGTAGTGGAGCCTCATGAGCCTAACGCACATGGTTGCTAACTATTTTCATATACACGTCAACATCCACGTCTAATAAATTATTGGATTCACTTGGTCGAATTATATATATTCGCAATGAACGGACGTATTGACATGTTGTCTCTTGTTAACTTGGAGTTTAAGTAGTTATAAATTATAATTTATATGATGTATGTGAATTTATTTAAATGAAAAATATGATAGATTTTATTATAAAACTATAAAAGAAACATTGAAAAAAAAACAATCGATAGACAGCCCTCGGTTTCCCAAATATTTATTTTACCAATTTAATGTAAAAATGTAGTAAGGTGAAAGGAAAAGGTGGGAAGGAGAAAGGACTGTAAAGGAAGGAATAGGGAGAAAGGGGTGAAAATAGTAAACTCTCGAATCGTAGTCGATGGTAATAAAGAGACTAAAGGTTACTGATTGGTCGGAAGAGAGCCAACTCTTAGGTTGTGACGACCATAATAAAGGGACTAGGGGTCACTGGTTGGGCAAGAGAGAAAGTTTGGGTGAACTCTTTTGTTAATGAAACATATAAAATTAGAAACGAATTTAGATACTACAGTGTAATTCCATGATAATATAAGTACACTATATTTTTTTTTAGGGTTAATATTCAAATAATTGTCCAAACTATATATTTTTTCCCCTAAATAGGTGGTTATAGTATTTTTTTTTGGATAATCTAGGTGCCCAACGTTACAAACGTGACCACTTTAGGTGTACGGGACGTAACGGCCGTTAGTTTTCTTCGTTAAGTGACACATTTCACAATATGATAATTTTGAAATTTGTTTTTTTAAATATTAAAAATATTATTATATTTATAAAAATAACAAATTTCTTTTAAATTACAAAAAAGGCCTCAAAATCCCTTAAATCCTTAAATCCTAACACTAATCGTCGTCGCCGCCCTTTTCGACCACGACCATTGCCGTTGACGTAGTCTCCATCATCATGCTAGTTATAAGCCGTCGTAGTTATCGTCGATTGGCCATCGAAATCACGTGGGATCACAATTTTCATCCTAGGATTCGTGTGGTATAGAACATCAATTCGTCGTCAGTCGGCTACGATTTCATAGGGTTTTGGTCGTCGGGGGAGATGAGGTCGGGTGGAGCTTCGTCAATGGAAAAGGGCGGCAAGCGGCATGGTTTTAGGGGTTGAAATGAAGGTTTTCAAAGATTTGAGGTTATTTCAAAATTTATATGTTTTCTTTTTTAAAATATATATATAATTTTATTTTTTTAATTTTATATAAAATTTTTAAAATTATCAGATTGTGACACATGTCACTTAACGGAAGAAATTAATGTTGTTGACAGCCCAAATACCTAAATTGGTAACGTTTGTAATGTTAGACACCTGGATGGTCCAGAAAATACTGTAGGCACCTATTCCGGAAAAAATGTATAGTTTGGGTACTTATTTTGGTATTAATCCTTCTTTTTATTAAAAAAACCGTTTAACTGGTTATCTTGATAATCAAATCCTTAATTACTTTTACATATTGATAAGTGTTTAAAATTTTCTTAAATATGCCATAACATAAGATTTGGAATCTCAGCCATACTCCCCCATCCTCCATCGAATTTGGTCTATCTTTTGATTGTGGTCATTTTTTCTCCATCATACAAGATCCGTGCCACTTTCACCTATAGTTGCAGCAGCCGTTTTGCTTTATTTTACGGAAGAAGGAGCGAAAGCCACTCGACTGTAAGGAGAGGTTACTAAGTCGGGAGGTTTATCTAGACATCTAATCCATGCGGGTAGGGCTGTAAATACAGGTAATCGGTCTGGTTTCAGTCGGATCTTGGCAGGTCGGGTTAAATCGGATATAGGTCAATTCATGTTGATTTGACACCAGATCCAGATCGGGTTTAGGTCAGGTCAAATCAGTTCGGGTTATTTTCAGGTTGATTTGACACTAGATCCAGATCGGGTTCAGGTCGGGTCATTTTCAGTTCGGATCGATTTCAGTTCAGGTCAAAACAATTCAGGTCCGAAGCAGATAAATACCAGGTTAATTCAGGTTCGGGTTGACTTCAGTCGGATCTCGTTCAGATCGGGTCACATCATTGACAGATAAAATTTAGGTCGGATGTTTATCGGATACGGATTGAGTTCAGGTCGGGTCGTTTTTATTTTTTTGGATTAATTAATTTTTCATCTTTCGTGATTGTTGAATTGGAAGTTGTAATTGTATATGATTTCGAGTAAAATAAGAGAAAAATAAATAACCATGGATCAATTTTGTAAAAAAAATAAAATTAATGACAAAATTGAAGAAATGTAAAATTACAAATAAAATCTTAAAATATAAATTAAACAACACACATAGGTAAGGGACTAAATCGAAATAAATTTAAAATGTGAGGTTTAAATTAATATAAAAATGACTAAATTAATCATGTTTTATATAATTTACATTTAAATGATTTTATTAATTTTATTAAATAATTTTATATAATATGTATGTATATATTAATGTAATAATGTTATTCTTTTGTGATTTGAAAACGCGGGAATGATTTTTTGTGCGGAAACAATTGCGCCATTATTTGGCAATTTGGCAAAGTTTTAAAAATATTAGCTCTGTCACCAACTTTGAATTTTATTATTTTGAATTTTAAAAACAAACGCAGGAATTTTATTTGACAATTTGGGAAACAATCGTGCCTGAATTTTATTGATTATAATTTTTAATATCTTGACTATAAATTCGAATGTATGATATGTATATATAATTTATTAATTCATGCATGTATGTATAATATGTATGCATATATGTATAATTTATTAATGCATGTATGATATGTATATTAATGTAATATGCATAGTGTTTCTATAAACTATATAAGCAATTTACTTTATATAGTTTATATATATATGCTATATAAAGTAAATTACTTATATAGTTTATAGAAATACTATGCATAAATTATATAAAGTAATAAAATATATAGTTTATAGAAACCCTAAACTCTAAACCCTAAACCATACACCCTAACTTTAAACCATAAACACTAAACCATAAACCCTGATATAAATAGACAAACACTAATATGACATGTACTACTATTTATGAACCATATAATATGGAATGTGACATACTAATTATTTAACACCTAATTAATCATGTTTTATATAATTTACATTTAAATAATTTTATTAAATAATTTTATATAATATGTGTGTATAAACCATGTATAGTATATATATATATATACATATATAAACTATATAAAGTAATAAAATATATAGTTTATAGAAATCCTAAATCATAAACCATAAACTTTAAATCACAAACACTAAACACTAAATCATAAACCCTAAT